TGAAGTAACACACAGGACCAAACAGACCCCCTGAGAGGAAAACGAACACAGTGACAGGTTGATGAGAAAGTTTAATCATTTTTAACTACACTTATTTCCAGTAAGTGTGCATATGTTTTTGTGCGTGCATGTTCCTCTCTCTCACTTTAGGGATGTGCTGTGGGATCCATTCTGACACCCTTTGACCTCGACCGTCATGGATATGGTCCGCCCCATCAACAAGCAATGCCAGTGGCTTCTTTTTGTTAAACTCATTCAAGTTCAAGTGGAACTCCGACAACAAGTCTCTGTGATGCAATAAGAGAATAATTATGAAATAATTTTTCTGAAATGACGATGCATGTTACATCAGATACTTCCTTACTTATAATATGTGTTTGGAGGCAACTCCACATCGTCTTTTCTTTTCCTCAGCCATTGAACAAGACAGCGAAGAAGCTGCACAATACTGCAAGCTGACTGGCTAGCATCTGTGGAATAGCATATGACATCACACAGAGGGGCTTTCTTGTTTTTGACAGAGGTTTTGAGTGCCTGGGTCAGGGCAGCCTTAATAAACAGAAGACACAGAGAGATATTCAGATTAACGTCAGTGTTCAGAAAAATTAATACATGAAGAACGATGGTTATTTATTCAATGTATAAATACCATGAACACAGTTTTGCCCTCTCCAGGATTTCCCTCAACCATCAGAATTCCTCCTTTTTGCTGACATTCTTGAACTTTTGCTGTTGCCATAGAAATAAGCTTTGCCCTGCCGTGAAACTGCCGCTGTTGGGCATCCTGATGCACTTCCTGTTCCTTAATCTCTGAGGCCAAATCTTCATCTGTCTCCTACAAAACAAGAAAGGAAATGATGTTGAATACATTGATATGAATAGAATAAACAATTTTAAATGCAAATATAATTTAATAAAAACACTGAAATAAATTAACAATCTAACAGAAAATATAATGTTTAAATTAGCAAACTGAAAATATGGAAGTACTGAATTAAAATGAATACTATATTTTCAATTTAGTAATTTTTTATTAAATTGCATACTCATATTTATTTATCCTTGATTGAGTGGCCCCCAAAAAGTGGAACTCCTAGTCTGACCTTCACAAAGAGCTGCTGTATGGCTTCCCAGATATCCTCCAGCGCCGCCTTCCCAAAGTCCTCCAGGCCTTTCAGATAGGGCTTTCCATCCACCACCTCACCCCATTCACAGGGATAACTAAGAGAATATGAAGCATTGCAAAAACAAATACATAAATACTCACTGTGCTGACAAAACAAATATGCTGAACTCACTTTTCTGCCACTTTGAAGTCGTTGTTCCGGATCCATGTTTTCAGGCTGTTCATTTTAGCTTCAGCTTCTTTGGATTCTGCCACAAAGTCTGTCCTCCATGCCACTGGCACCGAACTAAACATAAACACATGAAATGTAGATAATGTGACATACTGTATCTAATGTAAATCACAGAGCCACAGAAACATCAGCTTGCAGTTGATATTGTGTTTTCCATTATTTAATTCCTAGGCTGCCGTCTGTCAACTACAAAATGAATCCAGTCAGCAGATAAATAATAAGTGAATGTATACCTGGCGAGACGAGGTGATCTGAAGTAGAAGAACATGCGGCTCTGGGCAGTGTCTGGATACAGAGCTTGAAACTGTCGAATCTCCATTTCAGTGATGGATAACCCATCAGGCGCAGAGTTCAGCTGGCAGAGTGAAGAATGAAAACAATTCATGAGACTTTAGGACAAGGATAAACAGGATATTAAATATCCTGTATCAAGAAACACTTCTTATTAAACTCAATTTTGAAAATGTTGAAAGTTGTGCTGCTTAATATTTTTGTGGAAACAATCTATCTTTTTTTCAAGAATCTATGTTGTGTAGGAAGTTTAAAAAAAAGGAGTTATATGTTATAAATATCTTTACTCTCACTTTTGGTCAATTTAATGCATTCTTGCTTAAAGTATTAATGTCTTTAAATAATAATAATAACAACAATTTGCCCAAGCTTCTGAACAGTAGCATACTTTATTTTTTATTTTTTTTGCCTCTCTTATTTAGCTTGCAACTTTCTGGTCAACGTTAACTCTGGTTAACATTAAACTTGTTATGCAGCAAGACTGTACGTGATTAATAATAATCACTTGGATCACACTTTTAATAAAGCATCTATCAGACAAATAAATGTAATTACCCAGCTGTATTGAGGAAGCTCAGGTAGGGTGGGGCGGGGCGGCACAAGGCCGTATCTCTCTCCCAGAATCCCGAGCAGCAGCTGGCTGCGGCAGACCTCCGACAGACAGAGCTCCACAGCACGGTTAGACTCCTCCTCTGTGACGCCCCAGCGCAGCTCCACTTCCTGCAGGTAGAGGTAGTGCAGAGCGGCTCGTCTCCTGAGCTCGGGAAACACGCTACGCACAAGAACATCCCTCTCCGCATGCATGTCCCTGAACGTAGAAGAGATGAACACTCTCACACCCTTCCATCTATGAAAAGAGAGAAAAGAGAACTGATGAAGACAGGTTTTATTTAGTATTTCATTTCCAACAGTGTTGGGGAAAGTTACTTTTAAAAGTAATGCATTACAATATTGTGTTACTCCCTAAGAAAGTAACTAATTGCATTACTTACCTTTTATTTAAAAGCAATGCGTTATGTTACTTTTGCATTACTTTTTTTCATCTGGCCTGCTTGTTTGTTTTTAATATTAAAAATTCTATTTTTGGCAAATGTAAAAGCCCTTTCTCATCAAAAGTGAAATGAATAAGCCTCAGGCTGAAGGAATTAAATACATATAGGATTTTTGTGTTAACATTTATTTATTGCAGATTTGCATAATATTCTGAGTTTGCTTTTCACTGTTTTTATTCATTTTGAGAAATACTGAATCTGTTTTTGTGCAAGTGAGATGAGTAAATGCATGTTTACATTTAGTCTAGAATTACAGTAAATATCGTGTTTACACAGCGCACACAACACCTCTGCACTTACTCTCTATTTCTCTCAACACAGGGACAGGAGAGCTGTCAGTCAATAAATGGGAAAGCAAAGTAACTGGTGTTACTTATTTGAAAAAGTGACTCAAATATTTTATTGTAAATTTTAAAAAGTTATGCGTTACTTTAATAATTACTTGGAAAAAAAGTAATCTGATTACGTAACTCGCGTTACCCCCAACAATGGTTTTCAATGTACTAATGACCTGTCTGGTCTCCACTGGAATATATGCTAGACCACAACCACCCAACATAAAGTGATTGATGAACATTTTCTTTAATACAAGTAACTCGTGGATTTTTTTGTGGTTATACTTGAACTTTGGTGTTGCTGGCAGTGAGATGACATCAGCAGCTCGCTCAGGTTCAGTTTTGCGCCCCTGTGGTGGCGGGATGTTATAGACTCTGTCCATGTGCTCCACATGCTGCAGCATCCTCGAGGAGCCTCTCTCTGAGACAAACCTACGACCACAAAACAAATCTAAATGAACATCTGAAACTCCAGCCATTGTCTATCAGATTAGATTCAAAAGTAAAGTAGTAAGAAGTAAAATACATTGCTATTTACAAACTGAGTATTTTCAGCATTGATAATAATAATTAGAAGAATTTTTCTTGAGCACCAATTCAGCATATTAGAATGATTTCTGATGTATCATGTGACACTGAAGACTGGAGTAATGGCTGCTGAAAATTTAGTTTTGTCATCAAAGGAATATTACATTTTAAAATACATTTTAAAAAGTTACTATATGTGATATTATTTCATAATATTACTGTTTTGACTGTATTTAATGCAGCCTTTGTGAGCATAACAGACATCTACAAAAACATTTTAATAAATCTTACCAACCCCAAATTTTTTTAATTGTAGTAAATATTTGGTAGATCCCAAACTAGCTCTTACTGACAACTCCATGCTTTTTCACAAGAAAGAACATATATTAAGTACGACATAAGATTTCAGCAAAAGATCTTACTTCAGGATCTGCTCGCTAAACCCCCAAAGCTCTATAATGTTGGAACTCGGTTTGTATTTCAAATTTTCATTTGGAGACCTGTTCAAAACAAACAATAAAAGATTTATTTGCAACTACAGCAAATGTTGCCACATTTCTGCTCCAAGCAGCAGACATTTTAATGAAAATAAGTAAATTTTCAATTTTGGCAAATGGAGAACAAGTTCCACAAAACGTACATGTTTCCGAGCAGCACATCTATCACAACAGCATCACGGTTGATATCTTGCCGATAGTTATTGATATCCGCCATTAAATAACTGTCGGTGTATTCATTTTCAAACACAACTATACGATCCATCTGTGGAGGAAGATGTTATAACAGACATGTCATGTGCAAAATAATTGTAATTAATTCTGGTATAATCAGAAATATAAAAGGGGCTCACACCTTTGTTTTCTCTTCAGTTAGCTTAGTGAACAGTGTTGCAGGAGACATAAATTCAGATTGTACATTGTCATCATTCAAATCCTGAGAGAAAGAGGGACAGCGAGAGACAAAGAGAATAAAACAAAAAAGGAGTGAAATCATCAAAAAATAATGCACTTAAGAAGAACATCAAAAAGCATTGTAACTTGTAACTTTACATGCTTATTTCCACTCTTTACATTTAGATTAAAACACTAATAATTTAATATCACAGTTAAAAGCAATCTTTAACGAATCTCAAAATGAATATCCATTTTCATTCTGTACATTAAAATGTCATGATACCCAACTTCACTTGTAGAATTTAAAATTACTGATTTTATCTTTATTTTATTCTATTCATAGTGTTTTATTATACATTTTATTTGGTATTTTAATGTTTTATTTTTAAGAGTTTTATTTTAATGTAACTATTTTATTAAATAGAAAAAAATGTGTAAAAGGGCTGCTTGTATATTATTGTATATTCAGAATAAAAGGGAAATTCTTACCTCCACTTGCTTCACTGCTTGTCTCACATTATCAAAAATGATGTCAGACTTCAGCTTGACCTCCTGGAGACCTTCATGTCTATGTAGCATGACTCGGGAATCTTCGCTACAGTAGTTAATCATCATGCATAAAAGCATTGTAGCTTCCTGTACCTGCAGAACATATGGTTCACAATATGTTTCATTTATACTAGAAGCCTAATTTCTAAAATGTAACAAAATTATAATCCACAGTCACTCTGAAAAAAAACATAAAAGCAAAACTGTATTGTACTGGTAACTTAAACAATAAGATGTCCATAACTGACCGATGCTGAGAGTTTATTCTCATCAATGTCTTCGGTGCTTTCAGGGGGCAAGCAGACATCATCAGCACCACTCCAGTTCCGACCCTCTGAAATATCAGCCTTACAGATCACAAGAGTGCGTCCAGGGAGAGGCGGGATGTTATACTTGCAGGAGATCTGCACAGCTTTCTCCAAAGCACAGCAGTACTTGTTCAGAAGCTCCTGAGTGTACAGCCTCTAACTAACAAATTACATCACAAAAAACAAAGTCAATGCAGGGGTAAAATGAACTAAACTTGTTTATTATAGTAGTATTTTTTGATCCAAAATCTTAATACTACGTAAAGGTTTTGTTTAATATTACACTAACAATATAGCAATACACACTTTGCTTTTTTCAGGAGATTGCGTTTGATATTGAATATGCGGTAGACGAAGGGAACTCTCATTGTAATCCTCAGTCTCTTGCGTGCGGTTGTTTCCCATTTGTATCGTCGGAATCGTTTGCTCTTCGGGAATTTCTTAAGAACCCCTTGCAGGATCTCCCTGGAGCTTGGCACCTCGACCGCAGGCCCACCAGCTGAAAAGGGAGAACATGTCACTCAAACTTCCTCAGGCGCAGGTCTATCGAAGACACTGTGGGAATGTGCTCTCTCATTTAGGCGAGGCAAGTGTATTTATATAGCACATTTCATACACAATGGTAATTCAAAGTGCTTTACATAAAAGAAAAGAAAGTGACAATAATACAAAAAATAATCACAACAATAAAACAAGGAATTTAAAAACTTTGAAAATGATTAAAAAATTGATTTAAGAGGTTTAAAATGAATTTCAATCAGTTAAGAATAGAAAATGATTATACATAAAATATAGTGCAATCAGTTAGGACAATGCACAGTGTTCATTCAATAAATGTGCATCTAAACAGATGAGTTTTGAGTCTGCATTTAAATGGGGCTAATGTTTTAGCACATCTGATCTCTTCTGGAAGCTGATTCCAACTGCGGGCGGCATAATAACTAAAAGCGGACTCCCCTTATTTTGTGTGAACCCTTGGTATTTCTAACTGACTCGATCCTAATGATCTGAGTGGTCTGTTAGGTTTATATTCAGTGAACATATCTGCTATGTATTTAGGTCCTAGGCCATTGAGTGATGTATAAACGAGTAAAAGTACTTTCAAATCAATCCTAAATATAACTGGAAGCCAGTGTAAGGACCTGAGGACTGGTGTGACATGCTCAGATTTTCTGGTTCTAGTCAGAATTCTGGCAGCAGCGTTCTGGATGAGCTGCAGCTGTCTAATGGTCTTCTTGGGAAGGCCGGTGAGGAGACCATTACAATAGTCCACCCTGCTGGTGATAAAGGCATGAACAAGTTTCTCCAAGTCTTGACTGGAAACAAAACCTCTAATTCTTGCAATGTTTTTTAGATGATAGTATGCTGATTTAGTTACTGCTTTGACATGACTACTGAAACTAAGGTCTGTCTCCAGAATCACACCAAGATTCCTTAGTGTGATTAATATTTAGATTTATTTAGATTAATATGGATTCATCGACATCCAGTGAGATCCAAAGTTTTGTAGATTAAAATACTAAATTTCCCTAAAATACCATGAATACATCTTTCATTAGGACTAAATTCTTTGTACACTACCGTTCACAAATTTTTGAAAGAAAGATGCTCAGCAAAGCTGCATTTATTTGATTAAAAATATACTAAAAACCGTTTTACTGTGAAATGGTATTACATTTTAAAATAACTCCTTTCTATTTTAATATATTTTAAAATGTAATTTATTATGACAAAACTGAATTTTAAGATATAATCTGACTGGTTGACTGTTGATCCAGGTGCATCCTTCATACATAAACTTACCAAATTTACTGAGCTCCAAAATGACTTTATATGCAGACAGGAAACGGAAAGGAAACTGCCTGCTCTGGATTACAGCATTCTGGAAGATTAAACACCATAAACCCATAAATTACTTCATCATGCTACATACGTTTCAGTGTGCAAAAAGACTGAATTAAGAGACGCTCACCTTCGAGGTCAGTCTGTTGAGGATCTTAGTATGATGTTTCTCACTGATGCCCACAGAGATCATGTTCCTCAGGTTCCTCAGCATTGCCATAAAAGGAAGAGACTTTCCATCTGCAATTACAAAAAACATACACTTAAGTTTGAGTAGATGTTCAAGAATTAAGCCAGTTAATGACCCAGTGCATGTCCCTCATTCACACCGATGAGTTTCTCCCAGGTGGCAGCTTTGTTTCCCTCCTGACTAAGTTTGCATTCCCACGTGTCGGGCTGCTTAAGTTTCATTGGCTTTCCAGCTCTCTCTCTCTCCCAATCCCCACTAAGACCACTGCGAGAGAAGGCCTTCAGATCACTCGGGTATCTGCATGCAAAGACAGACAACAAACATGCTCACTCATGGCTTACACTGGACTGAGGATATTGGCAAAAATGTATATGCCAGCTTGTAGGACTAACTTCTTTCCCAGAATGGCCATGACATGTTCTGCAGGTTCTTTGATGTGAAGGCGCATTATCATTTTCTTGAGGCTGAATTCACTCTGTTTTTTATCCTTTGCAGTACGATTCTGGCTCTCCAACTGTATCAAAACATGCAGAACTGCATCATAAGAGGTTCAGTAGTGACAATGTGCAATAGTAATTTGTAATGGTATGTAATATCAAACAGATCAAACTAAACACAACAAAGCTCACATATTTTTTGAGAATGGAGTCATCAACTCTGACAAGGTCACCCCACATTTTCCACTGTGCAGCAGAGATTTTCTGAAAGTAGAGGGATAGGAAACAAAAGCATTTTAAAAGTGATGTGGAATGGAAAAAATCTAAAAAGAAATCGTATGGTTTGATGTGTGCAACACTGAAAATATGGTATTCAAAATTTCTTAAAAATGTAAACGTTTTTAAAAGTATTTTTTGACATGTTACCTCTCCTTTTTTTCGTTTCTTGTTGTGTTTGCAGCGATGCTTCCGTGTATTGTATTTGGCCAGCTGATATTCAGTGAACTGCTTAAATTTATCTGCTAAAGCTTTTTTCAGGCAGGAGGGTAAAGATTTACTGAAACACTGAACAAAAACATTTAAAAAGCATGAAAAACAAGAATACTACAATAGGAGCAAAATAAAATCCTTATATAAACATGTACCATGCTAAAACCGTAATCGCCATATGAATATGGTATAAGTACAAATATGGTGATCATTTCTTAAGGGCAGTCATGATATTTAATATTAACACTTACCGTGCTATAGATTCTTGTCACCTCCAGCCAATCAGATGGCAGCTGTACAGCAGCACAAAAGTATCTTCTCAAGTGTGGCTTAGAACCAGGCAGATGGGCCGCCAGTGCCAGCAGGAAGTTGGCTGTGATACGAATGTTTAGTTCCTGCCTAGTATAGACTGCAACCTAAAACCAACGCAAATATGCAAAACTAGTTTTGAAATTAAGTTCATGACATATAAGAGGTCATTGTACTATAAAAACATCCTGTTTTTATGTTTCAAAACTCAAAAATGTCTCATTTTCAGAAATTTACTTACTATGTGCACAAATCGGTGGGTGGGGCTAAACAGGCTGTGATGTTGAAGCAGGCATTGATCTTTAGCCACACTATTAGCAGGCAGTGTTTAGCCACACTATTACGTCATAAAGTGTTACATTCCACAACCTGTCATTTTGGCAGATTGGCTTCAAATATAAGCTGTTTTTAAGATGAGGAATGAGGAAGTTTTGAGTTCTGAAACTTACAGGATGTTTTTATAGCATTTTATATATCAAATGATCAAGGGAATTTTGATTTCTCAGTTCATTAACCCTTTTAACACCTGACAACATAACCCCCCACACACTCACACAGGCAAAAAACACCAACCTTTAGGAGAAACTCAGAGTCTTCTGTGGTAATCTCTGTGGCCAGAATCTTAATAATGGCCCACACACTCCTCTTCTTATCCCAGTCTTTCTGGCCCGGGGTACAGCTCTTATTGACAAGGGAGCAGCACACCATATTCAGCAGGTTGTTCTGAAGGACAAACAAAAGACTGTCACATAAGAAATGTTGACTGATTTCAAATATTATATTATAAAATATTATATATAAAGCTCATTCATTAATCAATTCATGTTAATTAAGGCTACCCAAATGTTACTGTGAAAATTCCAAACAATCTGAATTATCCACACCTTTATGATATAGGGCATAAAGAGAAAATAAAAGACGAAATTTAACATGCACATGTGTGCCGACTATCTAAATATAATCACCAAAGAATGCATATAAACAAAGCTAAAAATAAATAAGTAGGGCTAGTACATTATTAACCATTACTTAGGTTCACACAAACCCTAGAATTGTGCTCACTCGACTCACCTTTCTGTCCCTCAATTCCACAAGATGCTCATCCTTGCTTGCTTCAAGCACCCCAAACTCCTCATGAGGAGCACCAGTCTGCTCCCCCTCACCATCTAAATCCATATTCAGAAAAGGCATTTCAGAAGACAGCTTCTGGTCATCCTCTTCCAAGCTTTCATGACTCGCATCCTGTTGATGTACAGAGAGAATATAGTTAACTATATTTGCATTTCCCAAAGAAAATACCCATCCTTGCAAGGTATTTGTAAGTAAATATAAGTAATGAAAGTAAAAATTTCTGGAGGCGGAATTAAAAATAAATCTGAAAAAAATGATGCTACATTAATTCACATACATTCTTACAAAGCATTAGAAGAAATCCCTCTATACCTGTCTAGGCTCCTCACTAGATCCCAGCAGCCCTTCGGGTGAGAAAAGCATGTCTTCAGCTTCTCTCGCCTTCATTTCAGTCTGAAGGGGAGCCGGAGTCTTCATTTCTGTTTGGCTGACGAAAAGAGAAACACAGAACAGGAAATTATGGTTTTGTCCAGAGACACTGCAAATGCTAAAAGTACAGCACCAAACTGATTCTTGAGACAGGGCACAAAATACGTCCCACAAAATTTCCTGCAAATTAGATTTAAATAAGAAACCTCCTTGAAACTACCTGTCAGAAGGCAAAACAGCAGCATACATTATTTCAAGATAAAATGCTACTATATCCTGGTCACACACACTTTTTTAAAGGCCTCTTTCCATGTTTTACCTTTTTGAGTTCAACAAGATCATACAAGCTCTGATGAGTTTTATGTTTTTGCATATAATCTAAAGTAATTGTGCTAACTGACAGATTTTTTTTTTTTAATTGTTTGGGATTTTAGATAATTTTCCTCTTTTTAATTAGGCCCTATTAGTAGCTAGCAACATTAGAAAAACAAAATATCTACAGCTTGTAATACATGTGTGATAATGAGGATGATACTACTACTAATAATAATAGCCTATATTTCAACACTCGATACCATAAACTGTCAATCCTGTGAGATTTTCTGTTTAAAGGTGAAGACAATTCAGTACAATACTCAAAAATAACTAGGACTGACAAGCATGGGTGTGTCTAATGCAAACATTTGTAGACACCTGGAAAATCCAACAAGCTGCCTCCAGTCCTTTTCACCGCGTTTATTTAATTCCAGCTTCTTTACGTACTGGTCTTACTTGGTATAATTCCCCCTCTCAGCTGCCTGCGAACTGATGTACCTTATCCCTATGCCGTTTGCCTTCCCTTCGAATTAAACACGTACGCTCTTTAGATTTCTGAATGAGTTGTAAAGTTCACTTTACAGGACACTTACGGTCGATCGGAGCGCACCAAGCGGCAGTGAGTGTGGGACAAAGTCCTCTATCTTAGCTGATAATCAATGAAGAACAATCTTTGTCTTCGCAATGTCTGTTCTATATTGCCACATACATACGATAAAGATTCATCAGCACTCCCTCATTTCTACATTTTTAGAATCACTTCTTTATGGTCATAAATGTGCACAAACATAACAGACAAGCAAGTAGACAGTCTTGTCTGTCCGACACTGATTATTGACATGAAAATCTCCAAGCAACACTGTTGTAAATAAACGCATGCACTATATTTGGATTATTAAGTGATACATGGTTCATTCAGTGGTGTGACTAAACAAAATAAAGAAAATAACTCACCTTTAATGCTTTGTGATCAGGTATTTGTGTAAAATCAAGTAAACCAGTGAGCTGCCGACTGCATCTCACGGGTGAAACTAGATAACTTCCTCACCTGTGTATGTCACTACCGTAATGAACCGAATATAGACGCATATATGGTGGCGAGGGAGTCTCATATTTAGAAAAAGAAAATTCTTTCTTCACTCACATGAGCAGTTTTAAGCCCTATTCGGACGGTAATTGTTTCTCAGGAGGACGTAAGTGATTTTCACCATTTACAGGTGAAACTGTAATACCAAGTTTCTAGACATTGTTCAAATAAGTAGGCCTACAAGCTAGAAAGAGAAGGAATAAATAAAGAGAGATCTTTTTTTTTTTATGATGATGAAGTCAAGTAGCTTCGAAAGAGATGAGTTTTCAGCTGTCGCTTGCATACTCATGCATGTTTGCATACTCACATTCAAAAAATGTGATATTGTGATATTGTTTCCAAATTAGAATTACAGAATGTGCATTGTGAAGAGATGTCCAACTTAAATTTTGAGAGTAAAGAATTACAGGGATAGTACATATGAAGAATCTTATAGTAAAGTTCTTTCATCTTGTTAGGTAACAGAAACTTGTTAATACCGGCCCATATTTTAATAGTAGAAAGAAAAGGGTCATTTATTTTCCACTTAGAAGAAGACGCGTCACTCGGCCGGCTGAAGAAGAACGCGCTCAGGACAGTTCAGACATTGCGGTGAATCAGAGGTAAAAAAAACAATATAAATACTGTTCAGTTTCTTGCACACACCGATCGTTTTGTGTCTTTACACATCAATGTATTGTCACGAGCCGCAGGGTTTAATTTGGTTTTGTTTGTGTATGTTTTTTTGACTCTCAAAGCCGTGATTCCCATTCACTTACATTAAATGACTGACAGACTGCAACTGTTCGAGTTAAAAATCTTCATTTGTATTCTACTGAAGAAACAAAGTCATATACATCTTGGATGCCCTGGGGGTAAGCAGATAAACATCAAATTTTTATTTTTGGGTGAACTATCCCTTTAAAGCTGTTCCTCAAGGCTCTTCTGCTCCTTCAGTCTGCACTGCAGCTGTTGGATGGAGCTGAACCTCAGAACCTGAGCTGTCCTGCATATGGAGGAGTTCCTGGCACTCCTGGACACAACGGTCTGCCTGGGAGAGATGGGAGAGATAGTAAAGATGGAGCAATCGGACCCAAAGGAGAGAAGGGAGAGCCAGGTCTGTGTGTGTGAAAGAGAGAAATAAATGAAGTGAGGGAGTCTGAGGTAGTGGATTATTTCACTCCTACCTTATTTCAACTATTTTGCTCCTATCTTATAGGAGTGAGTGTTCAGGGACCACCAGGTAAAGCGGGACCACCTGGGCCAGCTGGAGAAAAGGGGACCTTCAGGTCCACAAGGTATTAAACATTTTAAGTTATTATGGTTTAAAATTGAAAATTAAAAGTGGAAATGTTGTGTTTCAGAGACTAAAATTGTACATGAACAAGTCTGAATGTGTATTATACAAGCTAAACTAAGTAATTGTTCCATATTTAGGGTCTCCTGGAAGTGAAAGTGTTCTTGAATCCCTGAAATCTGAGATCCAGCAACTTAAAGCCAAGATTGCCATGATTGAGAAAGTTGCAAGTTTCAGCCACTTCAGGCAAGTTGAACAGAAATACTACTTCACTGATGGTGTTGAGGGGACTTTTAGTCAAGGATTAAAATACTGCAAAGGTTTTGGTGGAATAATGGTTTTGCCCAGATCTTTTATAGAAAACAAAGCGTTTTTGAAATTAGTAGTATCCAGTGGTTTAAGTAGTAAGAAGCCATATATTGGAGTCTCAGACAGAGAAACCGAGGGACGTTTTGTGGACCCTGAAGGGAAGCAATTGACTTTTACCAACTGGGGTCTTGGTCAGCCTGATGACTATAAGGGACTACAAGACTGTGGTGTTATAGAGGACTCTTTTGGGATGATGGCAGTTGTGGTGATATGCGTCCTATTATGTATGAAATAAATGCTATAAACAGTGCACAGTTTAAATCCCATTGTCAGTCCTTCAAAAACTACAGTGCATATAAAATATACAAATAATAATTGCTATAAATATAGTTACAAATTAATAAATAAACAGTTTCTTATGACAATTTGTCATGTATCAAAGAGTGTCTCTTTTATTTCATTGCAAATCTGGCACTAATTGTGTAACTGACAGAAGATCAAATAATTAAAACGAATGAAATTTTATAGGCTAGTAATTTTATTTTTATGTTTGTTTGTTTATAATGTTTGTTCTATGCCCTGCACAAATATGGCCAAGGTTATTCCCCAGTGAACTGTTTTGTTAGCGAGATTTGTAAGTGAACATATAGCTGATCATATCACTTTAGACACACTATATTTGTAAAGTATAAAAAAAGAACAAACTGTAACACCACTACACTTTTTCCATTTTTTTCCACTACGCCAGACACAAATGCTTGATCAGTTGGTAAATGTTCTAGTTCTGATGGCTAACATAACAGTCATTAGCCTTTGGCTTTGAATGAAATAGCAAATCAGTGACTTCACTCCTCCTGAGTGGGTGCACACTATTTTTTGAAGAAATAACACAACCATTTAACCAGGGTGTCAATATATGGGAGGCTGGGACGGCCTACATGTGCGCATTATGTGGGCTGTACATCCTGAGAGGAAGATCAGTTTTTCAGAATATGAGATTCACAACAACAAGCCCATCAGATTTAAAGGAAGAAAACCCTCCTTGTGGACTTGTTGAGCAACAGGCATTGGCTGTCACCTGGACTCCTCCATTAAACCTGTAAGTTTCTAAATGTTTTTTGAGTATAACTGCAGTAAATCTATGAAAGAAAGAAAAAACAGGAACAGTGAACCACTAAAGTGACTTGAACTTAAACCGTAAAGAGACATGAAAATGGATGGCAGTCATGCACAATGCTGTTTTATGTGTTAGTGCAATAATATCCTGATGGATCACATGAAGAAACATTTAGAAATAAGTTACTGAAGTTATATAAAAGTTATTGTCCATGGAATAATTATAAAAGTGAATTAAATTAATTTCAATCAAGAATTACAAACTGATCAGGGTCATTTTTTTCTCGAAATCCCATTTGGGCAAGCTTTAAAGATTTGAAAATAAACGACTTGGTCTGTCCTGAGGCAAATATTTTCTGCTTAGTCCATTTGCAGTCACACCTTTCCTCTATATTCTCATGAGACTAATGAAATAGGGTTAAAAGGATGTATTCCTATTTTCATGCTGACTTAAGGGGAAATTTGTTGGATGGATTGACACCTAAATATTCTGAGCTGTTGAGCATAACTGCGTAGATAGAGACTGTTGTGATTCATCAATGTTCATTCACAACATTTTGTAAATTTTTTATCCTGCCACACAATTTAATATAGAATAATTTCCTCACATTTCAGAAAAACTAATAAAAAAGTATAGTAGCTAAAAGTCTTCAGTATAACTTACAATTCAGTTATCTGTACGAATGAAGGGCTTCACGCAAACACAAATAAGGACTTTTAAAAAAAGAAACCCGAATTGCAACCCCTTTATTTTGCAATAAAATCCTAATACACATAACTCAAGATAAATAAGTATATTTGCCTATAACTGATACATTGTCTGTTCTAGTGAATATGTCATTACAAGACAAACTGCAAACAAAAATGCTGTTTGATTGAGTGATTGTTTATGATTTCTGTAAATTCTTTAAATAAAAAAACCTGACAGGCACAAGCATTGTCTTTTTTTTTTTTCATGCACTGATCAATTTTGAGATTCTGGGCTATTATGTGTCCATAACATGTCTTCTTTCAGACTAGTGAAAAGGACACCAGTATTATTTTATTACACAATTATCAATTTGCGTATAGATTTTCAAATACAATACATATTTTAAAGGCGGTTTTCTCAAAATGAGTTTTTTTTCCCTGCACTGACCCAAAAAACTCCACGTCAGAAGCATTTACATACAAACTTTACAGTTTTATTCCTATATTCTTAAGTTTAAAGAGGGGTTTGTTTATATAACATTCACCTGATTTATTTATCATTTTATTCCTAAAAGCATGATTTTTTTTCTGACTGTTGACAGTATTTTCTGGTTCATGGAGTGATAAAAAGAGATACCAAAATCCCCCTTTTTAAAAACCCTTAACTCTAATATGTCAACAAAATGAAACAATTTTAATCCTGGCCTTATGCAGTGTTAAAATTTCTGTTCTGGAAATGCAAACTGATGCATTTTTTATTAAATAATGCCTCATTTGCATATTTAAACATATTACAGTGTCTTAACATACTACGATTAATTAACCGGAGAAGTATGGTAATATCTATTAGTTAAAGGGGTCATATGACGTTGCTAAAAAAGAACATTATTTGGTGTAATGAAATGTGTTTATGCGGTTTAAGGTTAAAAAAACACATTATTTTCCACATACTGTACATTACTGTTGCTCCTCTATGCCCCGCCTTTCTGAAACGCGTCGATTTTTACAAAGCTCATCGGTCTGAAAAGCGAGGTGTGCTCTGATTGGCCAGCTATCCATTGCGTTGTGATTGGCCGAATACCTCAAGCGTGTGACGGAAATGTTACGCCCCTTACCATACTGTGATGCCGTGTCCTGGTGTGACGAGACAAAACCAGTAAAACCCATTACAAACAAGGCATTTGTTGCATCCAGTGGGGACATAATTACGGATTATAATGACTTATACTGTCTTTTTACGCGTTGCGTTGCATCACGCCGCGTAAGCATAAAACCATGTCTGCATTTGTGATCGAAGAAACACAAACAACAAGAACTACTCTACACTGCTCAAAATTCACATTTGAATCATCAGTGGCAAATCCTTTAAATATGAAAACGTACTTACAGACTGTGAGTCAGCATTATTTGTCAGAACACCGGCATTGTAGGCTACTGGTTCAGGAAACAGTCCTTGTCCTCCGTAAAATGCGCTGCACACATCTAAATATTTGGTTTGAACTGTTCTGGAACAGTGTTGTAAATACAACTTAACCACTGATGTCTAGTTGTGTCTTGTGAACTTGAAATCGCATCATATGACCCCTTTAAAAAATTTACCCACTTCACCTGTGGTGTCTTGCCTTAAGTTGACTGATTGGATCTAAAAAAAAAAATCTCTCACGTTTTCCCATTGTGCACCACAGATGGCACTGTTAAAGCTGTTCCTCGAGGCTCTTCTGCTACTTCAGTTTACACTGCAGCTGTTGGATGGAGCTGAACCTCAGAACCTGAACTGTCCTGCATATGGAGGAGTTCCTGGCACTCCTGGACACAACGGTCTGCCTGGGAGAGATGGGAGAGATAGTAAAGATGGAGCAATCGGACCCAAAGGAGAGAAGGGAGAGCCAGGTCTGTGTGTGTGAAAGAGAGAAATAAATGAAGTGAGGGAGTCTGAGGTAGTGGATTATTTCACTCCTACCTTATTTCAACTATTTTGCTCCTATCTTATAGGAGCGAGTGTTCAGGGACCACCAGGTAAAGCGGGACCACCTGGAGAAAAGGGGGAAAGGGGACCTTCAGGTCCTCAAGGTATTAAACATTTAAGTTATTATTATAAGTTATTATAATAATGAGTTATTATAAGTCATTTAGCTATTTCAAAATCCCTCATGTGGAAAAACATGGATTTTTCTACTTTTAAAAAGTTGTCATGTAAATCATTTATGTTCAATAATTTATGTTCATTCATGTAGACATGTACCTAATTTCAAAGTGCAATTATTAAATTTTTAGGCTCTCCTGGACGTGAAAGCATATCTGACTCCTTAAAATCTGAGATGCAGCATCTTAATGCCAAGATTGCCATGATTGAGAAGGTTGTGAGTTTTAATACATTCAGAAAAGTGGGACAGAAATACTACATCACTGATGGTGTTGAGGCAATTTTTGATACAGGGGTGCAGTACTGTAAGGACGTTGGTGGAACAATAGTTTTGCCAAGAACTGCTTCCGAAAATCAGGCATTATTGAAAGTATCAGTATCCAGTGGTTTAGGTAGTAAGAAGCCATATATTAGAACTACAGACAGAGAAACAGAGGGATGGTTTGTGGACTCCGAGGGGAAGCTATTGACTTTTAACAACTGGGGTCTTGGTCAGCCTGATGACTATAAGGGACTACAAGACTGTGGAACAATAACAGACTCTGGCCTTTGGGATGATGTTGGTTGTAATGGTCTACATCCCATCATATGTGAAATAGAAATCAGATAGTATGTATACAATATTAAGATACATACATATCTGCAATATTAATATGCTATTAACAGTACACACATAATGCACAGTATAAATCACAGTCAAATATATCCTTTAAAAAAATTATATTACAGTGCATAAAATATACAAAAAATAATTGCCATAAATGTTTTTTAACAAATTAATAAATGCATTCTTACGATTATATGTCATGAATCAAAGTGTCTCTTTTATTTCATTGCAAATCTTACATTAATTGTATAACTAGCAGAACTTTAAATGAAATGGAAAAACTGAAACTAATAAAATTATAGGACAGCAATTTTATCATATTTGTGTCAGACTTTTGGACCTGTTTTGCCCCCGTAGTCTTTCCTGTGTTTCCTTATTTGGTCATGTTCCTGTCCTCATATAGTTTGATTATGTTCCATTGATGTCACCTGTGTTCCCCTGATTGCCCTGTGTTTAAAAGTCCTAGTCTGTTCAGTTTGTGTTTGTCAGGTCTACTTGTTTCTACGTGTGTTTGCCCAGCTCCTATTTTGGATTATCCTGTGTTTTCGTCATTAAAGACTGTGAATGCTACTCCGTGTCTCCTACGTTCTTCCCGCAGCAGCGTAACATGACAATTTGTTTGTTTATAATGTTTGTTCTATGCCCTGCACAAATATGTCCAAGGTTATTTCACAGTGAACTCTGAAGGTGTTTTGTTAGTGAAATTTGTATGTGCACATAAGGCCGTTTATATCATTTTTGACACACTGTATAGGTATTTTCTCAGTTAGGAAACTAACAAACTACACCTCGCGGTCAAAAACAAATCCTTTTTCCGATAACTGTTGTTATCCTTTGACTTCTGAATGGAATAAACAAACCCATAACTTCACTCGCAACTCTCCTTACAAAATTAATCATTAACATTTTGACAAACATTGGATGTTGTTTTTGTTTTGTATAAACTTTCTCATGCAGTAGTTAACCCTTGTCACACTCATGGTCTTCGTGGTCAAAAGTGACCGGACACCTGAAATGTAACTCTTTTTTTCTTCAGTAAAATCAATCTAATATATTTTTGTTCAATAATATTTTTCTTTTTTCTTCTGTATTTTGAGAGAAATTTTATGGTACTAATTAATATTTATGCAATAATTATCAATTTTTCCCATTGAAAATAGTACAAAAAATTTATTTTCAATTAATGCAGTATTTCAGATTGAAATAGAGACTAGGCCTTTAAAGGGGTCATATGATGCGATTTCAAGTTTTCCTTTCTCTTTTGAAGACATAATAGCACCTCCTGGTGAGAGAAAAAACAGAAAAACCAGTAATTTCATGGTGTAACCACTAGATCAGTGGTTCTCAACCCGCGGCCCGCGGCCCACCGTGCTGAACACAATAAAAAAAAAATACTTTCAGTTTTACAATTCATTTTAGTTTTTACATTAATTTAAAAATGTACTAAATAAATATAAGCTATAACCTAATGTTTTTATGTAAAATAATTTTGTTTTTCATATATTATTTTCAGACATGAGCAGTACAGCCCAATTAACGTTACGCGTTTAAAGTAACGACCAAGCGGCCAGCGGCAGACAGTGAGCATATGATTGATCAATTTAGCCTTCTCAAATCATCACGACTTGACTAAAATAAAATCTATAGATATAAAACAGTTCAAGCATATAACAATGTTTAAACGTTAAACCTAGATAAATGTGCGCTGTATCCAATAGTTTGCGCAGAGAGTGGAAGCTGAAGCGCGCTTTGCAGGACATAGAGACGCCAGCGCGATCACTTGCATTTTGTTTCAGTGGATACACCGTCATTTTTGCTCATAAAGGTAAGAGTAATACATCATTCGTAACTGTAAAGGGTCTACTTTTATTTGCGTGCACTCACAATATCAACAAAACGTTGTGCTTTTATAAAATAAAGAAATCAAACATGATGCGCTTTCTGCCGTCTC